GGGGCGGCGGGGTGGTGCTGCGGCGGGGTGGGGCGGCGGCGGTGCAGGCGCGAGTGAGTGGGGACGCGGGGTGGAGAGAGGGGTGAGAGAGAGGGGAGAGAGCAGTGGGGTGGGGCCGGAGAGACAGAGAGGGGGCGGTTGTTACTAATTAGTGGGGGCACGTTCTTTGTCGTCCGCTAGCGAACGACAAAGGTCCAGCAGGCAGACGACAAAGACTAGGCTGACGACAAATAGACTGACCTAGCCACGCCGTGCCCTGTGGGGCACACCCTGCTCTTTGTCGTCTGCCTTCTAGCTCTTTGCCGTCAGCTGGCTGACGGCAAAGAAGCAGCTGACGGCAAATAACATTTTTGCCATCAGCCCTTTCTTTGTCGTCCGCTTTGTGGAAGCGGACAACAAAGAGCCTATTTGTCGTCAGTTGGCGGACGGCAAAGAGGAGGCAGACGGCAAAATGCCAGATTCCAGTAGTTTTAGGGGATTGTAAGAGATCTTATATTGTATATATGTAGCAAGTAGCGTCGGATAGATATACGAAAACTTGTTGTTCGACCAATCTCTTGAAGAAGGAGAGGTCGATCACTTCTCTCTATATATGTTCATGACGATCTTCTGTACTTAATGGTTTCCTTCATTTTCTTACTAGCTACCTAGTGTGTCGAGTCCTCTCTATACGTATAGTACGTAGCGTCGACTAAGCACGGAGATAAGAGAGGACACTTCTCTCTATTATCTAGCTAACACAATATGTGAAACCCCTAAATTAACCCTACAAAACCCCCAAAACCCCCAACCCCCCCCCCTTCAAAAAAGTCAGCCCCTGAACTACTGACGCGTGGATGCCTTTTGGTCCCGGTTCGTGCTACCAACTGGGACAAAAGACCCTCTTGCCTGGGCAAGACGCAGCGGCCACGTGGAGCCCCATCTGTCCTGGTTCCTGGGTGAACCAAGACTAAGAGCATCTCCAGCCGTTTGGCCCCCCAGGGCGCCGAAAAAGAGTGGCCTAGGGGTGAGCCGGTGCTAGATCGCCCCCTGGGCTTCGGTTCGCTCCTAGTCACAGGCCCACGGTCGCCGCGGGTTCGGCGAAGTTTGTTTTAATTTTTTTGCAAACTCGGCGACTTTTGCATGAACTCGGCCATTTTTCGTCGAAATTTGTACAAAAACGTAAAAACATGCATGAACTAACTTAAAAACGAACTAAAAAGCCTAGCCGTTGCCGCCACAATCACCGCCGCTACCGTCTACATGCCGAGAAGTCTGTAGAAGCGGGTGTAGTCGCCAGTGTCGTCGTCGTCGCGCGCCTCACCTGCGGCGTCCCCTGCTGCATCCCTCGCCGGGGTCGCGGACAGTGCCTGACGACCCGGCCTCACCCTCGTCGTCGCTGTCGCTGTCGATGACGATGACGCTCGGGCTTGATGGGGCGGAGGGCCGGCGAGCCGGAGCCCGACGACGAGGATGACCCCGGCTCCATTCGGCACGGCATCCAGGAACTGTCGCGGCGGCACGAGGAGGGTCGCGTCAGGTACTCCAGCCGCGGCACATTGCTCATCTCGATGTGGTCTAGGACGGCGTCGAGTGTACGGCCGGGGATGCCCCACCACTCACGCCGTCCTTCGGAGTTGAGGCGGGTGCAGAGGATGATGTCGTTGACGGAGGCGATCTTCTCCTCGCGGCGGCGCTCGAAGTACAGTGTCCACAGCGTTTCGCTGTCGGGCGCGTACGTCGGCTCATTCCGCTGCTCCTCCATCAGCAAAGAGCGGATGCAGGCGATCTCCGCCCGCCGTGCCGCCCCTTCGGGCACCGGCATCACCGGGACGCCGCCGACAATCAGTCCCCACGAACCCGGCACGCGCATGTCGGGGGGCGCCGGGTACTCGGCCTCGTACAGAAGGCGCGCCTCCGGCTCCTGGAGGTGTCGGTGGCCGAAGCCGTTCGCCGCTGCGCCATCGCCTGGGTATCTCTTCATCATTGTTTCGCTCGTCGGCGGGCAAGGGAGTGGTGGGAGAGCTCGCCAGCGAGGAGAAAGCTTTCACGGGAGGGAGAGGAGGAGGCTGTGGCGCTCACCGGCGGGGAGGGGGCGCCTTTTATAGCCGAAGCGAGATGGTGGGGGGGGGGCGGCAAGCGGGCGGGCGCGTGGCGCATGCGGGCGGGACGCGCATCGGCGGCGTCTTCACTGCGCCGCCCGTGAGGCATCAATGGAGGCTGACCGGTGCGGCAGCGCGACAGCCTTCGCATTGATTCCCGCGGAAACCGAGGCGATGAGGCCGACGAAGCGGTCGTCTCGCTGACTCGGCGGGCCCGTGGCTGTTTCGCGCCAAAACACTGGCCCCGACGCCCCCGGGCGCCCCCCGGCGCGTCGGGTTTGGCCTGGGTCCGCCGGCGCTGATTTCGGCCCAAGCCGGTGAAAAACGGGCTCATGGGGGCGCGACTGGACCTTTTTTTCGGCGCCGGCGCAAAATAATCGCATGGGAAGGCCGTTCTGGGGGCGCGGCTGGAGATGCTCTAAAGGTATTGGGCTTTAGTACCAACCCTTTAGTCCCAGTTCGGGAACCGGGACAAATAGGCCTTATGAACCAGGACAAATGAGCCTTTTTCTACTAGTGAGCGCTGGAGGGCACATATCGGACTTGGTTGTATAGCTCATAACTTTTGAAAAGTAGGTATAGTACTTTATTAAAAAAACTCTTTTTCTGAACTTTATCTTCAAAACTAAAAGAACTTTATGGTTTTATTGTTTTCCTCAAAACTTCTTCTAACTTTATTGTAAAGTTCAAATAATCCTTCATAGAGTTCTTAAGCAATTTATACTTGTAATTAGTGGTGTCGAGCGTTAACATGTGTTGTACTTTAGCTTCATCATCCGAAGAACTTTGCATCATACATTAAAAGAATTTTCAGCTACACCATAAATTGCAACTAGATAAATAATCTGTTGACCCGAGCGTTATTAGCTACATCAGTTATGCAATACTGGATAAAATTGTGCAACTAGTCTGCCATCTAGGCCTAGTTCTTTCGCAGGATTCTCAGAATCTGCCCCTCTGCTTCTTCTAGAATCTTTGATCCCCTTTTGTTTTACAATCCTACCTAATTAGACCCTAACTAGATAGGATTGTAAAATAAATGGGGCACATAGATTCTGGGAGAATCTAGATAGGGATCAGATTCTGAGAGAATTTGATAAAAGAACTTGGCCCTAAACTCGAGCATGGGAGAGAAAGAGTGCGGTGCATGCAAAGGCTAGTGAGAAAACGAATCTATATCATGTCTTCCATAGCGTGTGGCCTCACATGCAGTACATGCATGGCAAACAAACAGTGGACCAGCTGATTAGACTGTACCTCGGATGAGCGGTTTGGATTTGCGCTGCATACGCAACGCGAATGGAAAACCCCGCGTCCCTCAAGCACAAGCCAGTATCCCAGGACGGGCATCATGCCGTCCAGCAGCGCGCTGCCGGACGAGATCATGACGGAGGTGCTTCTGCGGCTGCCGGTCAAGTCCCTGCTCCGCTTCCGCGTCGTGTGCCGCTCCTGGGTGGCGAACCTCTCCAGCCACCAGTTCTGCACGCTCCACATGGCCAAGACCGACGCCAACGTCACATCGGCTCCACCCAGGCTGCTCTTCGTCGCGCCCACCGCGCGATACAATTCCACGGCAATCTATTCCTGCTCGCCCTCGGGCCCCAGCGCGGACGTGCTTCTCACCCTCGACGATGTGCGGGGCAACTTCGTCTGTCCGGTGGCCGTGCAGTGCCGGGGCCTCAGCCTCCTATACGACGTCGTGTTCTTTTGGGAAGGAACGAGCCCTAATCGTAAATATCATATGGTCAAGTGGGCTTGGGTGTGTCAACCCAAAGCCCTGAGGGCCTTGGGATCACCAACACGAGGATCCTGAACAGCGCTCTGATGTGTAAATGGATCTGAAAGATTGCCCGGGGGGCAACAGGCTGCGGGTCGATCTCCTATGGGCAAAGTATTTCCCGGACGGGAATTCCTTCGAAGGGAGGACGAGGGGATCCCCCTTCTGGAACAACCTGCAAGCGATCAAACTGGCATTTGCCATGGGGGCAAAATTCTCGATTGGGAATGGCCGGTCCGCCCGCTTTTGGACAGATCACTGGATTGGTGCCCAACCTCTTTGGGCCGAATTTCAAGACCTGTATGACATTGTCGTCGACCCGGCAATGGCGGTGGCGGAGGCGTTGGCGTCAACCCCACCGGAAATCCATTTTAAACGGGAACTTAGCGGGCAAGAGCAGACTAGCCTAGCGCCGTTGCTTCTGATGATTAGCCCAATCGGCCTATCGGGCCAGCCAGACACGGTGAGCTGGGCACTCACTAGCTCGAGCAAGTTCACGGTTAAATCTTTATATCACAAGATGTGTCAAGGGCCGGCGCAACTTGTGATCAAAGGGTTGTGGAAGCGCGGCTGCCTTTGTAGATCAACTCTTCCTCTGGCAAATGTTCCGCAATATACTTCCCACCTCCCTGAATGTGGCCAAGCGCAATGGCCCAGCCAATGGCCCTTGCGCGCTGTGTGGTGCACCAGAGGATGCCAACCACGTCTTCTTTATGTGCCCACTAGCGAGGTTTGCATGGAGCGCGGTCCGGACAACGGCAGGTGTCCAGTGGGACCCTAGATCGGCGGCAGAGCTTATTCACTTATTAGATGTGATTCAGGGGCCGGCTAAGCGTGTTATGTGGAGTTGTGTAGGGGCACTCCTCTGGGCTTTGTGGTTAACTAGGAACAAGCTTACTATCGAGGGATGTTTTTCTACACATCCGGCTAATATTATCTACAAATATAACCTCTTCTTGCAGCAGTGGAGTCTGTTGGGGAGGCGCAAGGATGCTGAACTTCTCAAGACTGCCCAAGATCGTTTGAAGCAGGTGTACGTGTTGGCTAGGGAGCCTTCGACCACGGTCTAGGACGTGGTGTCTTTTGCTGCTTGTCGGGCCTGCGCGCTCTGTACGGGTTTTTGCCTTGTAAACTGCTTTCGACCTATTTGGCTTTCGTCGTGACTCCATCGTTTTCATCTTTTGCAAGGGCCTGAAGGGCTTTTGGTGATGTATTAAGACTTGTGTTTCTTACGCTGCCTGTTGGGGGCTTTATTAAGTTAAAACCGGACGCATGTGGTGTCTTAGTTCTAAAAAAAAACTCTTGCTTTTTAGTGGCGGTACAAACGGTGGGTGGGGCCAGGTGCGGCCGCGATACACGTAGCAAATAAAAAGATATACATTTTTTTTAACTTAATAAACAGATATACTTCAACCTGGGCCGGGCTATACATGCACTATACAAGGAGGTGGGCCATCGGTAACGCGAATCGCGGCGCGGCCCAGGATCTACGTAACTTAACGCCCAAACTGACACTAAGGTGAGTCCCCCTCAAATCAGACAATGTTCTACTTCTGGTGCTTGTCGGATTCGTTTTATCCGAACCGAGTTGGTCCACAATGCGTCCTCATCTGCTATATAGGAAGCATCTGGCTGCCCTGATTGCACGCCAACATCAAGCACTAGCAAGTATCCCGAGCCAAGATGGGCAATCGTACAAGGAGAAAGATCGTCCCGTCCAGCAGCGCGCTGCCGGACGAGATCATGACGGAGGTGCTTCTGCGGCTGCCGATCAAGTCCCTGCTCCGCTTCCGCGCCGTGTGCCGCTCCTGGGCAGCGAACGTCTCCAGCGACGAGTTCTGCACGCTCCACGCGGCCAAGGCCGACGCCGACGCCGCGTCGGCTCCACCCAGGCTGCTCTTCGTCGCGCCCACCGCGGGATACAATTCCACGGCGGTCTATTCCTGCTCGCCGTCGGGCCCCAGCGCGGACGTGCTCCTCACCCTCGACGATGTGCGGGGCAACTTCGTCGGCCCGGTGGCCGCGCAGTGCCGGGGCCTCAGCCTCCTGTACGACGCCGTTCCGCCGGCCTACTACGTGCTCAACGCTGCCACCAGGGCGGTCACGCGGCTCCCTCCTTGCCCCGACGCGCCGAGATCCAGCGCCGGACTGGGGTTTGATCCGCGGACCGAGGAGTACAAGGTTGTCAGGCTGTTCACGCAGTCATGCTACGACAAGCAGCTTAGGGACAGCAGGCTCCTTACCAAATGCGAGACATACACTCTTGGAGTTGGAGGCAGGTGTGGTGACCAGTGGACGCCTGCTGCCGGAGGAGTGCCGTCCTCCCGAGCTGCTCAAGCTGCCCTTGCAAATGCTGATCTCGACAAGCTGCCCCCGGTGTTCGTGGATGGTTTTCTCCACTGGCTTATGCTTCCGCTGGTTCAGAAAACCATGTCCACCATCATGTCCTTCTCCATCACAGAGGAGGCTTTCGGATGGGTCCAGCCGCCGCCCTTCATAACGTCTAGAAATTCACACTTGGTGGAGCTTGACGGCCACCTATGCATGGCCCGCGACCTTCGTGCCGATTCACCTAGCATACTGGAGATATGGAAGCTGCTGCGGGGCTCTACCTCTGGCGACTGGTCCCTGGATTATCGCATCGATTTGTCGGCGCAGACAACAAGAGAGGTTCTTATCGAGCTTGAAGCAATTCGTATTGAGCCTCAGGTTGTCAGAGTCCTTGGTGTTACGGGCAATGATAGGTCGGGGAAGAAGATCATCATCGGCACGGCGCAACACGAGGAGCATGCCTGGGATGCCACGTCCGGAACCACCGAAACCATTTTCTCGGTCGAGGATACAAACCTAGGCTATCAAGCAGAGTCTTCTTCCCTCCATCTCTGCTTATTCAAGGAAAGTCTTGCTCCGGTCCATAGAACAAATGAGGAGACGTCATGGTCATCTCCCGTGGGTAAGGCTGTCAAGGAGATCTTGCTCCGGCTCCCTGCTAAATCTGTCACACGGTTCAAAACTGTCTGCACCCAGTGGCGCAGATTTGTTGAGGGCGAGGTCTTTACGCGCTCATACTTGGAAATGCATAAGAAAATGGACAAGCAGGGTCCAAAGATCATGCTCGTGGGCAAGGGCACCCAACGGTCGCCCTTCCAGTTCACTCCGCTCAAGAAATGGCTTTCCGAGGGATCCAACTCTAGTGAAGGTGCAAGACTGGAGACCAAGGTGGTTTGCTCCAAGCCTTGCCATGGCTTGAACCTTGTAAGCACCGGAGAAGAAGACTATCTTTACAACCCTTGCACAGATTACTGCTACAAGATCCCTTCCGACCCAGGGTCATCTGTGCGTACACCATGGGAAAGGCCCGATGATGGTTGTGCTGGTATACAACAAAACTCCGCCTTCTCAATAGGTAATAAGAACATTGGCTTGGGTTTCAGTCCGTTGAATCAGGAGCATATAGCTATAATCATTCGTTATAAGCATAAGGACTTCAGATCTCGCAATTATCGCTTGACATGCTCGGTATGGCAGCGATGTAGTTGGTACCAATATAGTATCTCCAACCCGCCACTTCCAGTGAATGACATGCCACCGGCCTATGTGGCTGGGGTATTTTACTGGATGAGCGATCCTTTGCTGGGTCCGATCAATGAACAGGTCATAGTGGCGTTTGACATTGCCAGAAATGAATATGACACCATCC